AGAGAGAGGAATAGGCAGAGAAGAATGAATGGTGGTACAAGTGAGTAGGGGGGATAGAAATTGGGTCCTCTATGTCATCACAGGAGGATGTACCACTCAACACCCAAGGAAGAGAGATGTGGAACAAAGCAGAGAGAGCAAAAGAAATACTCAAACATTGACCAGTGGCTCCAAATCCCAGTTTAGGGCCCAGACAAACAAGTCAGCATTAGTCAACAATCTCTGTGAGATCACCCTGTGGGCAAAAAAAAAAAGAAAGAAAAAGCCTTAGAGGATTGGACAAGAATGGACAGCACAGCACCAAGTGGCTCCCTACTCAAAGAATGAAAAGTCTAGTCAAGTACAAGAAAGCAAACCCAAGCCCAGTGACTAAAGTGCACTTGAAAAGTCAACATACCAAGAAATTCTGTAAATTCCAAGGGGAAAGGAAGAGAAAGAGCACTCAGAATCAGGTAAAGTTCCCTAGGGGTATTTCAGCCTGGAGTAGAAATAGTCAGGGCTGGGCTGAGACTATCTAGCTAAACATGGAAATATCTCCCTCAGTCTCAGGTCCTGGCTACTATCACTGGCTACTCTCTCATTTAAGAAGCTGTATGGATACCCCCCAGCCACTGGAGGGCTACTTTGGTAGTAGAGGTCTCCTATAAACTCTCACAGGATGAACGGCCAGTTACGGTACAGGGAGGAACAGCAAAAGCAAGAGGCCGCCGTCCAAATGTGAGCCTTAAGACCAGTGGACAGTGTCCTAAGGAAGACTAGGCCTGTTCTGGGCTTCCCCTGGAACCCTTGACCTCTTAGGTGGAGACATTCTGGAAAATCTGGACCAGGCTTACTGCCTAGCTGATTGTCCTAGCAAACGCTAAGTGCTGGGCTTCCTTGGAGCTCAGCCCAGGCCCTCTTCTCTTCCCTGCCTCAGAGAGAACCTATCAGTTCCATGGCTTTAGGAACCACCCTAACCATCCTTATGCTGACGATGTCCAAGGGTGATGTCCAACCCTGACCAACTTCCCTTCTGAATCCACCTTCATATCTCTGACGGTAGCCTGGATATCTCCACTCAACTATCTCTTGAGCAGCTCAAACTTACCTAAAGCAAAGTCCTGACGTTCCTCCTCAGACTCATCCCACCCTCTTGCTGGGAAACTGGGCATCCTGATTGAATCTTCCATGTCCTCTATGCCCCACATCTAATCCATTAACAAGTCCTGTCATTTTCTCCAGTTCAGACCTGGTTTCTTTTCTTCATACACTTCTCGCAACTTGAAGTTCTTTTATTTGTTGTCGTTGGGCTCCCTCGCTAAAACAAGAGCAAGAGGCAACATTTTATTTTTGCCCACTGATGCATTTCAGACATGTAGCCCAGTGTCAGAGGGTAAACACTTAATGAACATTGGTTGAAGGAAGGATTTCAATAATAATGACTTCATCCAGGATGAAGCAGCTGTTCCATAACTGGCCTGGCACATTCCCATAGGGCCAACCCTCTGAGCCGGGGCAGGCATTGAGTCTCCCCACCTATCTCTCCTTGACCCTAGAGGGATACCAGCCAGAAAAGACACCTTCGTGCCCCAAAATGAGGCAAATAACTGCTAAATCCCACCTCCTTCATAGAGCTGTCCTGGGAAATCAGAGTGGAAATGGCACTGTACTGCTTTGCCAAGTGTGGACAGGGGATTTCCACACGAATCTCTTCAAGCCCTAGTTGCTGGTTTCCTTTGTTTCTTTTTAACTGTCGTTTTCCTTCTCTGAAATGAATTCGGCCTTGGCCTAAGATGGATACACTGCTTCCCTGGCCTTACCTGGCTAACCATTTCTACTCCATCGCCTGTGTGTTCTGAGTGTCCCCTCGCAGCCAGATGTGCCAGGAGGGTAGCAATGCAGCCTCAGAAACAGTGTGGGGAAGTGGAAGGAGCTTGGGTCTACCTCTGGCTCACACCGTCAGGTATTCTATGATCTTAATATTACCCTAAGCAAGCCACTTCACTCTCAGAGCCTCAGTCTTCTCATTTCCAAATGAAGTTCTTGGACTCCATGCCCGTGAGTCCTTTCCAGACACGACAGTCCAGACAGCACTCCGCATGGCTAACTGGAGACTTCCTGGCGCAGAGCAGACACCAGGAGCGTCCATGGCTGACCGAGAGAACATGCAAACAAACAGTGCTCAGGTGCAGGACATTTTCTGAGGGGTGTTCATAGTTATTTACCATGAAGGAGGTGCTTCCGTGGAAAATACTGAGTTAAAGGTATTTACCAGATATTCCTTGCTACGAGACTTCTCTAAACCTCTAATATGTGCTCCAAAGAGAGAAGATTAATGGACACAAACCCTTTTTTGCAGAGCTCCCTAACAGACTGAGTCAGACTTTGAGGTAAGTGGCTCTCAGGAAATCCCTGCAGCCCTGGGCTTCTAGCAGGTCACACTTTCCCAGGTGCAGCTTAATGCAGGAAAAGCTTTCAGGTTGTCAGCTGGAGTGGGGACCAGCATGAAGGAAAGAAGTCCTCTGTCCCCAAGCCCCTCGGCAACTCAAAGCTCTCTTAGGTTCCCCCAAATGAGAGAAGGCAAAGAGGAGATGACTGTCTGTGTGGGCCGCCTTCCTCCTAGAGTACAGCCTCCTGGAGTGTGCCCCAGTTCTCAACCCAGTGTTCAAAGAACAAACGAACAACCAGATCTTGCCCTTTTAGATCCCACGCAATGAGCAGAGGAACAGTACTCCAGCTGTTCTGAGTGTGCACAGCCCACATGGAGAGAGTGAGAGAAGTCAGTCCAGGGGGGAGAAAGGTGTCCAGAGAAGACTCGGAGGCCCAATGTGAAACACAATGCACTTTATTGGCGACAGAACGGATCAGTAGAAGGGCCTGTGTTATACACATCAGAACTGTGGTGACCATTCCATCCACGGAGGGGACCCCAAAGGCAGCAGAAGGTGGCGGCTGAGGCCACACCTAGACAATCACAGGCACAGGCTGGAGCCAGAGAGAGCCTGGAATTTTCACGGCTGTGCTTGGCCAAGGATCTGGATGGAGGAGCTCGAGGCCAGGCTCTTCTAGCTCCAAAGATCAGCTCCACTCGGAGGGAGGGGGAGAACCAGGGGAGGCGGGGGAATGACGCTGAGGATGCTACTGGTGCCTTGTCAGGGGGGAGGAGCAGATGGGGACAGGAGGCGATGGGGGAGGAGCAGATGGGGACAGGAGGCAAAGGTGCCCATGCGCGACGCGTTATTTATCTGGAGCAGCGCTGGGAGGACTGGGAGAACGTGATGCTGCCACCCCGGTTGCTGCCTGAGCTGAAGCCTCCACCACTGATGCCACGGCGACCCCCGTAGCCAGAGCCGAAGCCGCTGCCGCTTCCGAAGCCACTGCCTCCACCGAATCCACTGCTGCCTCCAAAGCCATTGCATCCGCCGAATCCACTGCCACCGCCGAATCCGAATCCACTGCCACCTCCGATTCCACTGCCGCCTGCTCCGCTGAAGCCGCTGCCGGCGCCCCCTCCCACGCTGAAGCCACCGCCAAAACCTCCTCCATAACCACCTGCAGAGGCCGAGGTCGTGTTGCTGCTGCTGACCACGGCTGCAGGAGAGAGGACAGTACAGTGATCCGCGCTCAGTGCCCATGACACTGTGTTATAATTAATGATTTGCTGGGCCCAGGATGATTGAGAGGGGATCAAGGTCGCTTTGCACCTGATGACCATTGTGATACATTCTAATGTCATAAGGTGTTCAGCCCCAAAGTGTTAAGACATCATGAATTGTCCAGTGGTTCCTTCTACATACAGTCAACTCTTGATGATGCCCTCAGAGATTAATCAGAATTTCTCCTCCCATTAACAGGCTCCCTACTGGATATTCCCCATGTGTATAGACCTATTAATAGTGCCCAGAATCCAGAACAATTACAAAAACATATCTGCTGCCCTTTCCACCACCTCCAACACCCATAACAATATTTTTTAAGTTAGTTGCTACTGCCCTGTATTGTTACAGATATTTCAGAATCAATTCTCATGGTTGTGGTTACTTTAGCTACTTACAGATGCTGACAGCATTCTGGCACTCTCCAGACATCCTGTATGAGAAAACAAGAAAAAGCTCCATCACAAAGCAAATTTCCAACAAGTCTAAGAATGAAGGGGATGAATTCAGCAACCCAAACTAAATTCAGAAGCCTGGCAGATCAGTCCTGTTTCTACATGGTCCTGTGGGCCACAACAGAGACCCCTAGGCACACTGGTTGCATATGTGTTTTGTCTAACTGTGGAGAGAGTGGGTTGATCAAGACAAACGCTTCTCCACGAGGCCTATGGAAGGTGGGGGACTCTCTCTATACAGCAGGCCTCCAGCCCCATTTACGTGGTCACTTAGTTGGCCCTCAGCATGTGACTTGTGTCAGGGGAGATGGGGAGTTGGAATTGGAGACCCACCTGCACTCCTCGCCTTCCAGCAGCTTGCGGTAGGTGGCGATCTCCACATCCAGAGCCAGCTTGACGTTCATCAGCTCCTGGTAGTCACGCAGCAGCCGAGCCATGTCATCCTTGGCCTGCTGTAGGGCAGCCTGCAGCTCTTGGAGTTTGGCATTGGCGTCCTTGAGGGCCATCTCCCCACGCTGCTCAGCTTCTGCGATGGCTGTCTGAAGGTTGGCATTCTGGAACAGGGGGAGATAGGAGAAAGCATGAGTGCAGTAAGAGGGTCCTGGGCTTGCTGAGTCTTAGAATAAATTATCCCAGAGCAATCTTCTTAAGGTCAGTCAACATCATCCCTTCACTAGCACCTCTATTTCATCTTCATCCACGGAGCTATTTCCCTTGTGGATTACCAAGTATCTAGACCGGCTTGGTCTTTGAACTCCCTGGAAGATGGAGATGACCTGAGATGACCCCAGAAGTGCATCCCAAACTAAGAGTCCTGAGATTCTAGCCCCTACCCTCAATGGTCAGCCCAGGCGCCAACATCTATTGCCATCCCACCTGCTTCTTCACGCTCTCGATCTCGGTCTGCAGCCTCTGGATCATCCTGTTGATCTCCATGATCTCATTCTTTGTGCTCTTCAGGTCATCGCCATGTCGGCCAGCCGTGGTCTGCAGCTCTCCCAACTGGAGAACAGAAGGGGAGATGGGATGTTCATGCAGCTTTTCCTGACTTGTTTCTTCATCTCTAACATCAACCATCCAACCTTGAGGTGCTTAGTAAGTGTTTGTTAAAATGAAAGAGTTATATGTCAGCAGGGACACCTCTGAGGCAGCAGGGGAGAGAATACCTGAGTTGTTATCGTAGAAGATTCTCCCCCCTCCCCCGCCCCCGCCCCTGCAGTCCCTGAGCAAGCTAAAGTCAGTCCATGTGGCCTGGCAAGGGACAATAGAACCACCTTCCCCCAGAGGGCAGCACTAAAAAACCATTTCTGCAACTTAAAAACCATCAGAGGTATGTCTTCAGAGAGTAGAAGCGGGGTGTATCCAGTGACACCAGAAACTCATCACCTAGGAGTCCCACAGGCCACAGATTCCCTGAGACCTTCATTGGATCCCCTGAGAGGGGCCTAGCTCCCACCTTGGTCTGGTACAGGGCCTCAGCCTCAGCCTTGCTCCTCTGGGCTATCTCCTCATACTGGGTCTTGACCTCAGCAATGATGCTGTCCAGGTCCAGGCAGCGGTTGTTGTCCATGGAGAGGATGACAGACATGTCACTGACATGACTCTGCATCTGGGACAGCTCCTGCCAACACAGAGGATCCTCTTTACTCTTGGGACTTCTCTAATATGCACTCAGAGAACCAGAGAAACTCCTGACCCATTCACTGACTCAGCTTTGAATGTGATCTGCCCCACCCTGCCCCGCAGCCCATCCTGCAGAACCCCAACAGGTGGGTTTATCTCTAGGCTCAACCTTTCCAGGCCCTCACACCAAATGCCTCAGCCTCAAATCTGAAAACATCTCACCTTCCCTCTGTCCCCCTCTTAGTAGGAAATGCCCTCACCATATCATAGAGTGTCCTCAGGAAGTTGATCTCTTCTATTAAAGCATCCACCTTGGCCTGAAGTTCCACCTTGTTCGTGTAGACAGCATCCACTTCCTGAGAAAGACAGAAGCATAAAGGTCATAGTCCCCTAAAGACCAAGCAACAAACTGTAACTGCAGAAAGGAAGAGTCAGGAGGACCAGGGCTGGTGATTGATCGGTCTTTGTCTGAGGCTGGTCTCCACATGAAGGAGTAATATGCATCTCACTGAGGTGGTTTAAGTTCAACCCTATTCAAAAACTAAACGTGAATGAGCTGACTTATTTAGGGACCTTTCCAGACTAAGTTGCACCTGGCTGCTGTTTTTTGCCCCAACTGCCTGAACTTGGCAGCTCCATGGCAATGGAATAAGGAGATTTCCCCCAACCCAGCTGGAAACCTGCATCTACAAGGAGCCCCAGGAACCTCACATATAGCCCTTACCTTCTTCAGGGTCACAAATTCATTTTCAGCAGCTGTACGTTTATTGATTTCATCCTCATATCTGTAAGAGTTAAAAAGAACTAGCTGAGTTTGGGTTTTGAGGTAATCATAAACACCACTGCTCTCTATAATTCTGAACAATCATCTCTTCCGCCTTCTGTTCCTCTCCACCCCTCTTAGATGAATACATCCTTTTTACTATCTCCTTTTTAGGAGAGCTAGCCATTCCGATTTGTTCAGGCAGGCTGTCCCAGTTTTAGCATTGCAAGTCCCATGTCCTGGGGAAACCTCTCAGTCCTGGGATGGCAAACTGAGATGGTAGGTCAACACACCATGAGTTGTCCCAGCATCCTTCAGATCTTAGAACCAGGATCTTCCCCAACCTGGCTTCTGAAGAAGTGCTCCCTCAATTGTAAACTCATCCTGCTAGACACAATTTCATTTGTAAAGGACTATCCTTGGAGAAGGAAGGTGAAGTGGAACCTAATGAACCAAGCTGTCCTCCATGAAGATAAGGGGAGGAAAATAGGCTAAGTGCCCAGCAGGCAGGAAGAATGCAGTAAAGGCTGGGACTTCGAGACAGGGTGGCCCATGGCATCCGCCCCTGTCACTTACTTCTTCTTGAAGTCCTCTACCAGGTCCTGCATGTTCCTCAGCTCTGAGTCCAGACGGCCTCTCTCCGCCAGAATGCTGTCCAGGTAGCTCCGCCGGGAACTGATATAGTTCTCAAAAAGGGGCTCAAGGTTGTTGGTGCCTGTGGTGAAATTGGTGCCCTGCTGTTGGAGCAGGTTCCATTTGGTCTCCAGGACCTTGTTCTGTTGCTCCAGGAACCGCACCTGCAGTGCATTGAGTAAAGCAACATCAAGCAACACTTGCAGCAGAGCAGAATGCTGTCCAGGTAGCTCCGCCGGGAACTGATATAGTTCTCAAAAAGGGGCTCAAGGTTGTTGGTGCCTGTGGTGAAATTGGTGCCCTGCTGTTGGAGCAGGTTCCATTTGGTCTCCAGGACCTTGTTCTGTTGCTCCAGGAACCGCACCTGCAGTGCATTGAATAAAGCAACATCAAGCAACACTTGTAGCAGAGTAGAGGGGCCTTGGCTCAGATAGGACAGGGTGTCTGTATCTCCCCATCCCACAGCATAAAGGCCTAGAAAGGACATGAAGATAGGCTTCAACCATAGCTGAAGAGGATACTGTCAGACAGTCACATCGGTCAGGCCACTAAGCATGCAGCATGGTTTAGAATGTTACAGAAAAAGGAGAGATGGGGCGAGGAAACTGAAAGGATTTCCTGCCTGAACATAGAAGTAAAGATGACCTCTCTGTTCCTGGAGATTTCATGACTATATCTAACTTCCAAAAATACAGTAGACTGCAAAAATGTACTTAAACCTTAGCAGCATCTTTTCCTTCTAAGGCTCCACTAACATTCCAGTCCTTCGAAGGATGTGAGTCACTGGGACCTGATACTGATTGAAACACCATAATATTCAAGGCCAATCGTGACAGGAAAAAGACAGCTAGTGTGACCTCTCCTGGTCTGAAGGTCACCAACCACTCCTCTCTTTCTGACAAGATTGATTAGGGCTGTAGACAATGTTGCAAGTTTCTCCACAACCCCTTGGAACTAAGGTTCCACGTAAGCCTCTTTAATCCTTTCTCTGAGGCGTACACCTCCTGTGCTTGGCACAGAGACGTAAAAGGAACAGGCCTCCTGGAAAGCCTCAGAGGGCAGCTTATATTTGAAAAGCCTCCAGTTCTGGGTCAGACCCTTCCCTGACAGTGGTCATGGCTCTTACCATGCGCTGCCAGCTCTGCCAGCCTAGGCCTAGATAAGGCAACAATTGGGAGACTTGAGCAGAGAGTAAGACAAGCAGGGCTTGGGGATGTCCAGATCCACAACCATGTGATGGTTGTCCATGACTATCACATGATCATGTGGAATAGCTTATTGGCCTTGAATATTTTCATAGGCCCTAAAATGCTGCCTAACCCCACCCCTGCCTCCAGCCTTTCCCATCCAAGATTAATCCTAAACACTGTGTCTAAATGTCAAACTCAAAGCCCCCAGCCTAGAAATGAGGGCCCAATCAAAGTTTCATCACCTTGTCGATGAAGGAAGCAAACTTATTGTTGAGAGTCTTGATCTGCTCCCGCTCCTGGGCCTTGACCTGCCCAATCTGGGGGTCGATCTCCACATTGAGGGGCTGCAGGAGGCTCTGGTTGACAGTCACTTCCTGGATTCCCCCAGGGAAGCCACTAGAGCCAAAGCCACCAGGTCCACCAAAGCCACCAGGCCCACCACCAAAGCCACCTGGCCCTCCAAAGCCACCAGGTCCACCAAAGCCACCAGCTCCTCCAAAGCCACCAGCTCCTCCAAAGCCACCAGCCCCTCCAAAGCCACCTCCCATTCCTCTGCCACCACCAAAGCCACCTCCATAGCCACCCGCAAAGCCACTGCCACAGCTGCTACGCCCTCCCCCAAAACCACCAGCCTGGGAGCCACCAGCCACACTGATGGAGATGCTCTTGTTGCCACCCAGGTTATAGAGACTGCGACTGCCAAAGCCACCTGCTCCGCTCCGGAACCCACAGGCCCCTCCACCTGCTCCCCCAGAGCGGGCCACACAGCTCATCCTGTTGCTGCCGGAGACGATGGCGGAGTGGCCAGAGAAGCCCTGGCTCCCGCCACTGAAGGACTTCCTGCAGACTTGTCTGTTCATAGTGAGAAGATCTGATAAAGGAAAAGTGTGCAAGCAAAGCAAAGACACCTAGAGTCGGAGGAAAAAGGAAGGAAACTAAAGACCTGTGCAGAATAAAATCCCTTTATATACATCTAGGAGGTTGCTGGGCTCAAATGAAGAAGAGATAATTAAAGCTCAAATAGTAATGGGTTGGGTTTGCCTTCAAGGCAATAAGTTTGTTCCAGGCTGCTAAACACACCTTGAAAATAATCTGAAATGGTAAAAGTGCTAAGGTGGCAGGCTCACCTGACAGGGGGTGGTACCTGGCATTGCTCCATTCTTGGGGCATGGCCACCTCTTTGCTTTGTCTGACAGGACCCAGAAGGCATACTCATCTGCATCAGGTGCTCAGCAGCATCTGTCTGCCTGGTGCCCCTGGCCCTGCCAGAGCCGGCTTCAGCTCGGGGAAGGATGGAATGGAAGGTGGGTTCAGGAGGTTCTGGTCCTCTGAGTGGTAGAGACAGTGAAGCCCAGCCAAGGACTCAGGGAAAATATCTCAGTAGAAAGGCTGATACAGTTCACTACACCATCAGCACAGTGTCATTGAGAGCCCAGCATGTGCCCAGCTCTGTGCCGGATTTGGGGATGAAGGGATGACCTCTCTTCCTCCCTTCCTGGAAACAAAGCCCAGAACCAACACAAATCTGCCTCCTGGGTTTCCCCTCTATCTCAAGCTGTAGTTCAGGAGACAGAAGCATTTGAGTTCATGACTGTCTTCTGAGAAAAAGGTCAGTTAACACCTATGCACTTTGATTAGCCATTAGCGAAATTCAACATACAAAATGTTTGTTCATTTGTTTTAAAAACTTACCAGCGAAACTACACACTAATTCATATCTTGGAGCAACTCTAAGGCTTTCTTTCTTGCTCCCCACATTTTTGGCACTTCTCTGCTTTCAGCCCAAATCCCAAGAAACTAAAAATTTAGATATTAATTCTACCACCAATTCAACAAATATCGACAGATTGCCTAACTCGTGCCAGGCACTGTGTAAGGCACTGGAGACTCATGAATGAGACACACGGAGCCCCTGAGGGGCCACTCTCTGGTTGAGGAGCCGTGCTCCTGGGAGGTATGTGAACTCACTACCCAGACCTGCCACCAGCCTCAGTAGGCCAGACCTGGCAGAGCTGGCAGCACTCCTATAGGTGTCTGACTCCAAAACCCTGAGAATCTGCCAGCCTGGTGTTTTTCAGAGGCTTAGGGACTGGGCTTGACTTGTCCAAGAGGAAAGCCTTCCTGATCAGCTCTGGAGCTTGCCAAGGTAGCCACTTATCTCCCCAGGACGGGTCTTTTTCCGTCTGTCTGCTACACACTAGTCCCTGCCAAGGGTGTGGCCTGTGTGGCCTTGGCAGGAGCCTCCTCAGAATGGGGGGAAAGGAGGAAAGGACGGGGGATTTTTCAACTCTCACTGAGCAGGGCTGGGATGGCCCAAATACAGAGGAAGCGAAGGTTCTTCAGTGGCCTGGTTCTCCTACTTTGTCCTTCTATCCTCTATTTGTTACCCCTAGGCTATGTGACATCCTAGCCCCTTCCCCAGAATAAAGCTGTAAACTTTCCATGAGCTTATTTATGGTCTTGTTAATAATACACTGGATCTCTTGGTTCTTAGTGCTGTGGTTTGCCAATAATAGATGCTCATAAAGGTTGGTTGAATGAATGAATCAATCAGTTGATGAATTAATGAATAAATTGTGCCTTTATACTGGATTACAACCAAATAAAACTAGTAAAAAGCTAGTTCAGATACCACTACATGAGGTAGCCCAAGCTAACTGAGATCACCTTAACATGACAAATCTAGACTTCTCAAATTTCGTGTTCAGATTTAAGACATTGCACATGCAAACTAAGTGCCATCTCCTTCCCACTGGAAAAAATGTGGTAGAATCACAGTATCAAAAAACAATCAATCACAGAATCATCTTGAAGTTGACTGGGCTTTTGAGGTCACATAATATGCCCCCTGCCCAGTATGTCTTACTTACAGCCCCGATCTTCCACAGCTGCTACCTAAGGTTTAATGGTATGTGAAATTAGCCCAAGGCCCAGAGAGTGGCCACACAGACACCCTCCTCATCTTTGCTCCCTCAGAGGAACCGGAGTTTAAAGAATGAACCAAATCCAGAGCTGGACCAGCCCCTCCCTATGACTAACCATGACCAAAGCTATTTAAATTCTTTATGTATCAGCATCATTAACCATTAAAGATGGTCAATCATCTCTGCCCCTCTGGATCTCACAGAAATAGAAATGGATGAATGAAATCTCTGTCAAGTGTTTCAATAAACATATCACAAAAACTAGGCCATATTTTTTTCTCTTAATATTTGAGAGTATGCATTTTGGAGCCAAATAGATCCAGTTTTTTATCATTTATTTTTAATTGACATACAACATCATATTAGTTTAGGATATACATAGACCCAGTTTTTAAATCTCAGCTTTGTCACTGCATGTCCATGAGCAAGTTCTTAAACCTCTCTGTGCCTCAGTTTCCTCACCTATAAAATTAATTTATTAATGTACCTCTCTCACAGAGTCATTGCCATGACTAAAAAGTGCCTAGCACACTAGTAATGTTCAATTAGTGTTCCCTATTATTTTTAACTATTTTTATTTGCAAGTCACATGGAGAATTTCAGCATGAATACCTGTTGAAAGAATCAAGATAAAATGATGCTTCCATTTCTAAATTATCCATTGAGGTCATTGGGATGTGAGCACAGCTTAGAGATAGAGAGATAGAAATTATATCAACTCCACAACTTGGGGTGAAGGGAAGCAGGCCTCAGCTTCCAGGCCAAAAAATAGAAATCAGTGAACAAATATGAGGAGTGTTTACTGAGCAGAGGATCTCTTGGTCACCATGTGAGAAAGAATGGTTTTCAAAGAGCTCACAATCTAGACAAACCAAACAATACACGACTGTGTAAAACTAGGTGCTATGTTGCAGGTGCTGTGAGAGCATGAAGAATCAGAAAAGCAAGGAAAATGTAGAATCACATGGGAAGGCTTCATGAAGGGACATAGCTGAAATTTTTAAGGAGGGCAGGATTTGGACAGACAGAAGGAAAGTCATTTCAGCCCAGATGATCATGAAAAGGCTGTGTTGTAAATAAGCACGATTGGATTCAGGAAGTGGAGACTGAGGGACTTTTGTCATTTGTGACTACGCAACATTCTTGAACACCTTCCTACATTTGGATTATTTCCCACATTGTGATCCCCACCTTCTTGGGGTAAAATCCAAAACACACATTTCCAGATCCCTTTGCAGCTAGAGGCCAGGCCTTTCAATCTACCAATGAAATAGACCCTTGTGAGACTTGGGGACAACATAAGGAGATGGCCACAGAGAGAGCAATAGATCTTTCCAGAGAGCACAATGATGGAGACAACTAGGTCTCTGTGGTCAGAAGAGGGGTTTTGTCATTTTGCCTCAAGCATCATGGGTACAGCAGCAGTTTTAACCAGATTAGATCCCAAGTGTGGCTAGGAATAGTTCCAGGCTATAGAGCTCCCAGAAACGCCATGAGCAACAATGTCCTTTAATAAATTATTTTCGTTTGAATTAGACAGAAAAGATGTTCATGTTTGCAAGTATAAGCCTTTATTAGATACACCTACCTAAAGCAGAAAGAGATTGTGGGAGAAAACACTGGAGAAATGGGTGAGAACAGGATGGAGGGCCTGCCTTTTGTGCCAGACAGAATGAGGCTGCTGTATGGCCAGGTGTGGGGCCTGAAGTCCAGGGTAAAGGGAATTCTTAAACTCATAGTGAATCAAGAGGTCATCCAGTCTTGGAACATGAAACCCAAGCTCCAAACAAATTGGACCAAATGGCTCAAGCCTTGGTCCTCCACAGCTTGGCCTCGACCTACTTCTCCAGTGTTCCCTCCCACCACTTCCTGCCCTTAGTCTTGAGGGATGCTAAGTTGCATTGGGTTCCTGCACATACTGCGCAGTGCCACATTTCCCTGTCTTTACTCTGATATTCTTGCTGCCTAGAGTACCCTTCTCCCCTGCACCTCTCACCTCGACTCCAAGTCCACACAGTTGATACCAGGCTGTCTCCCTTTCAGGCTTCAAGATTTATCTTAGGTGTCACTTCCTCCAGGGAGCCTTCTTTGAATCCCTAGGCAAAAGATGTTTTTCCCTTGGTCTTCAAGAGCCTCAGTGTTCACATCTACCATCATTCTAACACTGTCTTGAAAGTATGGAAAATCTGTATTTAATGTGTCTGCTTCCCCAAGGCTCCACATACTCACATACACATAGTCACATTGAACTATATCCTCCTCAAGGACGAGGACTCCACTGTGATGCTGGTCAAGCTGAAGCTCTTAGACAGTGAATTTGCAGACAGAAGAGTTCCCAGTCTGATGAAGGAAATACTGCAGCCCCTCAGGACACCACACAGGGAAGGGAGTGTGATCAGAATGAGGCCTGAGGAGGCCTAGGGGTGACAGAGCAACAGGGTGAGCCAGTAGGGTGGAGCTACTCCAGGGAGGGTCCTGGAAGAAAGGACTTCCTCTTAGAAGAGATTAGAATCCTGCCCACTGTCAGATCACTTCCCCCCATCTCTAGCACCCAGGCCTACCTGTCCTTCAAGGCCTCACTTAAATGCCACCTCCCGCATGAAGCCTCCTGTGGTTGCCAACCCCCTCACACATCCAAGACTAGAAGTATGAACTTCCATAGCCTTTGTTTGTAACTCCCAAGAGCATTTTTCTGTCTATCTGGTTACCAAGTTATTTATGTATATGTTTTTATCTAGACGTTATCATCTAAATTTAAAATTCCTCGAAAGCAAAGTCTAATTCTTATTGTAACATTGCCTAGAACAGACTAGGCACTCAATAAACATTTGTTCATTTACTCAACCAACTTTTCTTAAATGTCTACTAGTGTCAAGCACAGTGGCTCTGACGTATCAAAATAAATAAAGCGTGATTCCTGCCCTAAGAATTCAAAGGCATTAGCTAATGAATGGGTGGGTCGGTAGAGGGACATAGATGGTAGGTAAGCGACTGGCAAATAGCAATAAAACTCTTTGTCCAGAAAACCTCTTCCTAGTTCATCTAGCTTATCTTTAACCTTCTTAGAATTCTTGAGGATCAAATCCACAACACTTCAATTAAAAAAACTGCAGAAGCTGAACAATTTTACCTTCACTCGAGTCAACTAGGAAACCATGGGCGTCAATGAGCCAGAGTCCTGGGGCTTCTACCACCACCAAGACGCCTCATGGTCATGGCCCGACCCTCTCAATCTTCTCTTCATGGGATAAAAGAGATGACTGTTCGGTCCCTACCTTCAATACAGTGAAAATATGGAGCAGGGACTAAAATGGCTTCTTCCTTCAGCCTGCCCCTCCCTTTGTCCTAGGCTGCTCCACTAGTACCATGCCCTGAGGAATCACAAAGGGGACACAGCTCCCTCAATTATTTCCCTAGGTAGCTGTCTCACAAACCTTGACCATCCACCTAAGCCATGGTAGTGGACATGCCTTATTCTGAGGTCCTCTGGTCTTAGAATCCAAAGCCTGAGTCCCAACAGTAATCTAAACCAAAATCCCACATGGAGCAACACTAATAATCAGCTCTTTGCTTTGTCCTCCTGGTTTTACCAGCAACAAGCAAGGGAGACTTCAAAAGTGGTAGCAAGAATTATTTGAAACTGAGAGCCGCGAACCCAGAGCAGAAGGTCTTGATAAAGGGGGAGGGATCTATGCAAATGTGGTCATTACTTGGGAGCCAGGGGCCTGAGCCAAACCAAGGATGAGGTTGCAGTCAGGCCTAGAAGTCAAGAGCTTAGAGAGCTGGGCAGACAAACCAAACAAATTAAGGTTAAGATTTGCCAACTCATGGTTGGGCCATTATGATGTGAGAAGTGATTTCAGCACATCTTAAGGTAAAGCATTGCAGGTGAGAGAGTGTGGGCCTCCCAAGAGGCAGGTAATGCAACCTGTGTCTCCACAGTTCCCTTGAACATGAAGAGCTGGCCAGAATCCAATTCATAGAATCTGAGAAAAGGGTGGTGCCAATTATCTCAGAAGTGGATTTTCTCCCAAATAGTTCCCTTCGATTAGCCGACCAGCTTCAAACCTATGGCTCATGGCCAGGATCCACTCCCTTGGACTGTTCTGAAGTAGAGGGCAACATGAATGTTTTGTTTTTTTGTTTTTTTGTTTTTCTTTTCTGTACGGGAGTCTTCTTGTATAAATAAAAATAATAATAATTTTAAAAAAAGCATAGCTGCTTGGCTGCAAATGCAAACATGTTTATTCTAAGATATACATGCACATTATAATCTACGACCTGACTTTGTATGTAAATCATCAAATTCAACTGAAAAGGCCCTGGAGACATTGCAGTGCCATTCACGCTGGCACTTTGCTTACTCAGAGGGCATGAAAAATTCCTTAACCTACCCAACAACCTCCACCACCACCACCATCCCTAGCCTCTCAGTGTGGCCCCTCTCAACCTGCAACTTCCTGGTGGGCGAACTTAAGAAACCGCTCCCCTTCTTCCAACCCTTGACTCCTCCTGGGCACCCCAGAAACTCAGAAAAGAGCAAGTCCAGCATTTTCCCAGGGGAGGAGTGCAGCGGTGGGAAGAAGTCAAAGACTTCCTGCTCTGACACTTGGTGTGAGCTCAAAGACAATGAGGAGATTAGGGTGGGGCTTGTGAAGGACCAAAGAGTCCTGCCCAGGGAGTGGCTGCTCCTGGCAAAAGGCCCCTGCCCAGTGATCCCAAGGCCCGGAGATTAACCCTTCACCATTTCACCCTGCTACCCTGAGCCTGCCTCCAGTTCTGCATGAAGGCCCTGTGGGCAGAGACTGGCCTTGGGCAAACTGTGTGCCTTCTGTCTACACACAATCAGGGCCCCATGGGCACTGCGCTGGAGTGATTGGAGTATGAATGAATCCCCTGGCAGTGAAGGGTGCCAGGCACCAAATGGGTGGCCAAGGGAATGAGGGTATTCAGCATCTGCAGTAGGAAGATTTTAGGTCAGACTAAGAGTAGGGAGCTGTGCAGTCTTTCTCTGAAGAAGAAAAGATTATGCTCATCCAGGTGTCTTGGAATTGATTTAGTATAGAAACAAGGTATCCACAAAGTTTATACTCAGACTCCCACCTCTGACTATCCTCACCCCCAACCAGAATCTCCAGGGCTGGCCTCAATCAGGCAGCTTCACCTATACTGCCCCAGAAGATCTGCCTCACCTCCCCTGCTCCCCTACCACCCAGGGACTCCCACCACTCCCCCAGACACAATCATCTGAGGAGTTGGGGAAGTAAGCACAGCATGAAAGCTCAGTGAGGGTGACATGGTTTCTCTTCTCCTTCCAACAACTGTGACCTTGTTGATACTTGAAAGAAGTTCCTGAAAGCCTCACTGGTCCCATGAGATTTAGCCCAGTGCATGGAATTTCATAACTAGAGAAGCCTTGTTAGATGCTGAGTATAAACACCCCATAGGCTTCGTAACCCCTTGTTATATTTTCAGTGGAGACCCCTAACTGCCTCTCCTCCTACCCGCTCTATACCCCACACCTTCAGACTTGAAACTCTTCCCTCCAGGTTCATTACAGGCTCAGCCCAGATTGCCTGCAGCTGGTGATCTTTATATAAGTGTTGGTTGTTTTGAGTCTGTGCCCCTGTTCTGCAGGCAACCTTCAGGCTCCACACACTGTACTTCTCCCTCAATAATCTGGGTATTTAAAAAAAGAGACCTGAGAAACTAGCTGATGACCTTGATCAATACAGGCAGACCCCTCAGGCCCCAGTCTCCTTTGCTTTCCTCTGTGTTCAGGAGACTTCTCCCCAGTGAAGAAGAACAATCGCTCGGAATGAATGACAAAAGCATTTTATTGAAAATTCACCCGAAAATGGATAGAGAGAAAGAGAAAAGTTGGGACACTGAATGGTTCTTGTCCTGACCATGCAGGGCCAGTTGCTACCAAGTGATGGGGGAGTCAGTCTTGATATAGAGGGATGTCTGAGATCTGATAGGAGATGGCACTGGGCTGGGAAGGGACATATGTGATCCCGATGATTCTGGACATGATGCTCCTAGTTGTGTTCTCCTCTGTCCATGGGGGTTGAAGAGTCAGCTGACACACCCCCCATTCCAGGTGAGTCACCAAGCCTAAACTGAGAAGAAGCTACCAAACTCCAAGAGGACAGAGTCCACTCCCTGGCACTGAGGTGACACTGAGCTCCAGAAGGGGAGGGTGCAGACAGAAGTGAAGGAAGCACAGAGACACCAGGATTGGGCCCAGGTAGGCTCAGGGGACTGCAGGGACCTCATTTCGTCTGTCGGTGAGCTCTCTTGGTCAGGGTGGTGCTAGAGATGGTCTTGTTGCTGGAACTGACACCGCTACCAAACCCATAACCACTTCCAGAGCCAGAACCAAAGCCACTCCCCAGGCCAAACCCGGAGAAGCTTCCTAATCCTCCACCAATGCCTCCTGCACTGGTGGCACCACTGACCACAGCTGTGGGAAAGAGGAAAAGACACGGTTATTTCTCCAATGCCAGCAACCAGGAGTCACAGCTCAAACCAAAGTAAACAAATGGATACTTACAAATGCTCACAGCATTCTGGCATTCTCCAGACATCCTGTGGGGGAGAGAAAGAGTGGTGAGCCACGGCAGAGCCCAGAACCACACTTTGTTCCATCGGCAGGTGTCAAGTACCTTTCCCATCTTTAAGCAGCCGAATTTAAGGCCTGATTGTGAACCTGCTATCTAACATTGTCCTGGTTCATAATGCTCCAGTGCAGCATTGAAGCAAGTGGCCCAGCAGAAGTGCCCTGGACCTTCCATGGTCCCAGACCTCTCATTCTTCATGTTACCACCCTGCCCTCCCCTCCTCACCGGAACTCCTCGCCCTCCAGCAGCTTGCGGTAGGTGGCAATCTCAATGTCCAGGGCCAGCTTCACGCTCATGAGCTCCTGGTAGTCGCGCAGCATCCGGGTTAGCTCCTCCTTGGCCTTCTTCAGAGCAGCTTCCAGCTCTGCACGCTTGCTAAAGGCATCTTTCAGGGCCAGGTCCCCACGCTGCTCAGCATCAGCCACAGAGGCCTGCAGAGTCTGGCACTGTCGACGAGGGCATGAGATTAGGCAATCAGCAGCATCCTGCTGTCAAGACCTCTGCATCTGTCCCTTCTCTTGTAGGAGCTTTGCATGAGTTAAGATGTCAGAGTTCTGCCTGTCCTTCTCCCCACCTTCCCTGATTCTTATGCATTTCATCCACTCCAGCAAAAGCCTACCAACGCCTTCATCAGACTGATTAAATAAAGATGAGCAAAATCCTATGAAAAAGACCAAAAAGCCTTATGACATGGGGTGGCACATCATGTTAAATAGTATATTGCTAAAAAGATCTGGGTATGACTTACGCAAAGAGTTACAAATCCCCTGCAGACAAGCTCAAGATCTTGCAGCCTGATGTCTTACCTGCTTTTCTTCTGTGGAGGCGTCTGCCTTAGGACCCTGGCCCTGCACTGCATCTGAAAGGAGAGAACACTTACCTGCTTCTTGACATTCTCAATCTCAGCCCGCAGCCTCTGGATTATTCTGTTGAGTTCTGCAATCTCACTCTTGGTGCTCTTCAGGTTGTCACCATATTGGTCAACTGAGATCTGGAGCTGCTGGAACTAAGGAGACATAAGAAATGAGGGGTCACGGATGTTTGGGTAGGGTCTCTTCTTAAGTCAACTTAGTAAGAATAGCCACAGGAAGCAAGGATAATACAAAATGTCAAATAATCTCAATCAAACCAGAATAAATAATGCCTAGAAGAATCAATTTGTCTCTGCCTTCTCTTGGGCACGAGCTGATGATTGTCTGCTCACAGACATCAAAAGAAGAGCCCCCAAAAGCCACATCCAACTCCTGAGAGATCTCCAGCACCCACCTTGGTCTGGTACAGGGCCTCAGCCTCGGCCTTGCTCCTCTGGGCGATCTCCTCATACTGGGCACGGACCTCAGCGATGATACTGTCCAGGTCCAGGTCCCGGTTGTTGTCCATGGACAGGACGACGGATGTGTCACTGACATGGTTCTGCATTTGAGACAGCTCCTGTGGGAAAAATGTTTCACATCAGGCCCCCCGTATAGTCCTCTCTAATCTCTGTCACAAGAAATCTGCTACAAGGTTAGATGGAAGCAGAGCTGGCTTTCCCAATGTGTAGGGAGGGGGAGGATGGGCAAATTTCTATGTAGAAATCAAATGGTTGGTGACATCTCAAAACAGAAAAGCAATGCACATAGTCTTTACTGCCACTCCCTGGGAACTATAAGACAATCCATGTCAGTAAGCATCCAGTTCAGTGGGTAGAAGGAGATGGAATGGGTCCACTACACTAGAGAAATGTTAAGTGGCAATAAATTCTAATAGTCCTATGCAGTCTTTAAATCTTATCATCTCTTCTAAGATAGCATCTGGTTTTGAGGACCTATCCGTGACCTTACAGAGAGCCCCCTGCCCTGAAGTGAAGGAGCTAGAATCCCTCCAAAGAACTGTGAACTCCAACCAGCAGCCTCATAGATGGAGGATTCCCTCCCCTAGATATGGCGGGGGATGGAGTCCTCACCGCAGCATAGAGGACTCTCAGGAAGTTGATCTCATCGTTAAGGGCATCCACCTTGGCCCCCAACTCCACCTTGTTCATGTAGGCAGCATCCACATCCTGTGCCAGAGGAGGAGGGATAAGACACAAGGTACAGGAATTACAACAGGGGGCAGGGGATGTTAAGTGACACACAAAGGTATTCTCAGCAGCATTTAGGAAAGGCTTCTCAACTCCAGGTGCAGCGTCGAGAGAATAATCATTTGATATATTCTGCTAAAGCCACTTGAAGACATGAGAGTTAATTATCCAAATGGACTTTTTTCCCAGCCTTAATTCCTTAGGACCTGGTTCAGTTAGATCTGGATAGTACCAAGTGGGGTGGAGATGAGGCAGAGAGGGATCAATGCCATGAATCCAGCCAAAGACCGCTCCCGAGAGAAGAGTGCCCTTGCTGCACTTCCTGCCCTCCTTCATCTCTTACCTTCTTGAGCACCACAAAGTCATTCTCGGCAGCTGTGCGTTTGTTGATCTCATCTTCATACCTGGGGGTGGGGATGGGAAGGAAAAGACAAAAGTCCCACAGTGAACCAGTGTTTCTCAGCTCTCCGATGCTGCTTTTCAAACATCTATTTAGAAATATCCAGCTAACTGGCTACATTTCCCATGTTCATACAGATATTCATTCAACTTATATTTATTGAATAATGACTATGTATAAGGTACCAAACTAGACCCTGATTTATTCAGAGAAGTGAAAACTAAACTTTAAAAAGAGTTAAGAGATAACATGTGAGGAGAACCAGCAAAGATCTGGTCGATTTTATTTCTATAGAAGGGCCGTCCTTTGAGCCATTGGGTGGATGAAATTCTCTTTGTTTCATGTGAGAGTGAATTGAGAGAGGGGGTTGGTATCTTCTCAGCTCCACCCCAGAGTGCGTATATAAGAGCTATGGATCAAATGTTCATTATATGTCCGCCACTATGCTACCTGCTTTCTCTACCTCATTTAATTTCATTTAATTATCAACCTATAAGGTAGAACTATTATCCCTATTTTAAGTATGAAGAAAACTGAGGTTCAGAGAGGTTAAGCAGGTTACTCAAGATCACACAGCTAGTAAGTAGAAGAATCAGTATTCAAACCAGGTCTACCTATCTCTACAACCTGTATTCTTCTGACTATGCTATAGTACTTTTCGTCTGTTTGATTTCTAATCTTGTTTGCATATGGCAAGCAAGCCCAGCTCCCTGAATGTATCATTCATTTTATGTTTGGGACAACTTAGGATTACTAAACTTCACCCCCATTGAAATGGACATAGAGATGTCAGACTAGAGGACCTTCCTGACTCCTTTGGAATATCTTCAGAGCCTGGGATTCTAAATGACCGGAGAAGAGCCCAGGGATCCTGGGGCATGACTAAGTAGATTTGTCGGATGGCATCCCCTCTTTCTTCCTCACATACTTGGCCTTGAAGTCCTCCACACTGTCCTGCATGGTCTTCAGCTCAGACTGCAGGCGGCCTTTGTCATTGACCAAAATATCCAACTGCTTCCTCAGGGCACTGAGGTAAGTCTCAAAGAAGGGCTCCAGGTTTTTGCTGGATGTGGTGGTCGTCTGCTGCTGGAGGAGGTTCCACTTGGTCTCCAGGACCTTATTCTGTTGCTCCAAGAACCTCACCTGTGTTTAAAAAGGTACAGGCCAATTGATGAGGGCCTGAAGCTTTAGCAGGAGCGCTGGCCAAGGCCAACACCAACCCTATCAATCCAAGCCAACCAGGTGGCCCAACAGCCATCCGACTAGAGCCAACATGTCACAATTCCAGGAACCATCCACTGGGGTCAACATGGTGGCCCCACTTGTGAGTCCATAGCAACAAATGGGCCGTGTGGGTCATGGAGAACAGAGCTGAGGGCCTGAAGCTTTAGCAGGAGCGCTGGCCAAGGCCAACACCAACCCTATCAATCCAAGCCAACCAGGTGGCCCAACAGCCATCCGACTAGAGCCAACATGTCACAATTCCAGGAACCATCCACTGGGGTCAACATGGTGGCCCCACTTGTGAGTCCATAGCAACAAATGGGCCGTGTGGGTCATGGAGAACAGAGCACAGCCAGAGCAGCAGGGCCCCACAACGGCAAGAACAG